TTTGGAGAAAACCTCTTGCTGCCCCCCCCCCCCCCCCAAACTACACTCTCTCTCTCTCTCTCTCTCTCTCTCTCTCTCTCTCTCTCTCTCCCCCCCTCTCAGCGTAAGCGTGTCTCTCCGCCTGAGGAGGTAGGTACAGAGCCCCTGACATGCGAGAGCTGACGTTTGTTTACCTGTGCCCGTCACAAATGCCTCCTCCGCTGTGTTTCAAGTCTCCCCTGGAAATGATGATTTTGGCAAGGAACGTCACTTCCGGAGAAGGGCGAAGAATTGAGTTATTCACCCTTGACATGGCCTGGTATTTCATCCGTCCGAAACTTGAGTTCGAATGTGTGGCCAGTTTAGAACGGGCACCTATTGGTTAGATAGACTCGATTTTCAAGATAGGATCGGGTTTAGGTAAATATTTCTGGCCAGTGAATACTATGTCAGATAAACCCTCGCTTTGCTTCATGGACTTTATGAGTGGTTGGTGGGTGCTGTATTGGTGTGCTCACTGTTTCTGATCAAACCTCTGTCTTTCCTATCTCTCTTCCTTGTTTTGTTTGTGTATACCCTAGTATCACCTCCAATCTTCTGCACTTACGTTGCAAGTGTCTTAAAACTCTAATTGGAACTACAATTCTTACATTTGACATCAAGTCCATAAATCAGGACCTGTTGCATTTCACGCGCTGAGAAAAGACCCTATCGTGACCTATAGAATAAAACATTTTTGATTTTTAAAAAGGATTTGGTCAAAATCTACAACAACAACAAAACTTGGTAGCCCTTACCCCTCAGCAAAGCATAAAACTGGCCGTTCTAAGATGTATCAAACCATGTCAAACAGGGATTTGACAAAAGTTTTTGAAGCGTTCACTCAGTGACTGGGAATGCTTGAATCTGATTGTGTAGCCAGTCTGAGGTGCTCTTGGGAGGTGATTGTACATTGGCCAGTTGTCCGATGTAACTGGGGAAGGTCCGGTGTCCAGCATTGACTGTGTTGTGTCTGGCACTCGCTCCCCTGTTTGTGGCCTCGGCAAGGGTAAAAGCTATTCTCGTGCTATGTTTTGTCTAGATTAATATTTGCGTTGTGGTATCTGGAGAAGGTGGGTGCTTGGTTGACGGGTCTCTGGCGTGGTTTGCAACATTCTTTGCTATCAGACATCTATTGTCGTTGTTTCCCCCCCTTCTGTTCTTTGAATGCCATTCTCTCTTGATGGGTGGTTGGTGGATGCTCTTGTGTGTTTGCTCCTTTGTCTCCTATCAAGCATCAATCTATCGTCATAAAAATCCTCTTCCTTTTTTGTGTTTGTTATTCCCCAGTTTTGAGTGGTTGGTGGATGCTCTAGTGTGGCTTGCCTCTTCTTTCTCATCACGTCTTTATCTCTTCTCCTTTTCTTGATATGCCTCTTTCTAGCAACATCTCTGATATTCGGAGGGTATATGCCCTATATGTGTTGCAACCGCTGTAAAACTCGTATAAAAATAAACTTGTGGAGACGTGGACTCTTCCACTTACAGCCTTAACAGCTCCACATCCTTCCCCTACCCTTACCCTTCCTTCTATAGTATGTATGCCAAGGCTATCCTCTCCGTAGTACAGAATGACGATTGGTTTGGTTCGGTGTGGGTGATTGATGAGTGCTCTGGTGTGGTTTGCTTCTTCTTTCCTATCAATACCAAACATATATCGTCTTTATCTCCCCTCCTTCTTTTTTCTGTTTGTTACTCTCTTGTAACACCTCTAATCTTCGGCACTTATATGACCTTATTGTGTTGCAAGTGCCGTAAAACTCTTACTAAAACTAAAAGGTTCGGTTCAGGTTGGTTCGGTTTGCGGTGGGCGGGGTTAGCCAGATTGAGGGCCAAAAAGCGACAATCGTGGCACAAACCGAACGAAGCCGACGGTGACCTTAAAAAACAAACGTGTTTGTTTTCACGGCCGCGAGTCGACCGATCGGTTTGTGTTTAAAGAACCGTTCCCCCAATGGGCACTGTGTATAAGGTCCATCTCCGATAGGATCCAACTAGTAGAAAGAGAGCCTTGAAAACTCGTCCGGGAACATCCAAAGTACTTCAGCCAAACAGGTTCATCAGCATCATGCCAGCCCAGCACTA